GGACAAACAGCCACCAGTGGCCCCTCAGCAGTGGGTCATGACAAGGGACAGGCTAGAGGAGCCGGCAGTGTCCCCACACCTCTCCCTTGGGGTGGGAGAGGGCTGTTCCCATGCACCCAGACCCCACCGGGGCACCCAGACCCCACTGGGGAATACTCTCCCCCGTGCCCCGACCCCGGCCAGCCCCACACACCACTCACTTGTGCTCCACCTCGGCCAGGGCCTTGCGCACAGCCGCGTATTTGACATTGGCGTCCGTCAGGGCCTTCAGGACGTTCTCCTGGGCAGCCAGGTTCTGCTCCAGGTAGACCTTGATCTGGTCGTACTTCTTCAGCTGCTCCTCAAAGAGCTTCTGCCGAGAGAGGGGAGGATCTGAGGGGCCGCAGGCGGCTGGGGAGGCTCAGGGGTAGGTTGGGACGGAGCAGAGCTCTTGCCGCAGCCCTAACTGGGATGTGTGGCACGTGAAGGAGCTTCCCCAAAACACGGCGGCTGGCACCCACCTTCATCTCGGAGCGGTCGGTGGTGACCAGCGAGGTGGTGATATCGTCCTTCTGGATCATCTCACGCAGCTGCTGCTCCAGGGACATCCGCTGGTCCCTCATCTCCTGCACCTTGCCCAGGATTCGCTTCAGGTTCTGCAGCACTTGCTTGTCGTCTGGGGGACAGGGAGGGCTGAGCGGCCGTGCCGGACCCCATTGAGCCCCGGCGCAGCCTCCCCGGCCCGAGCCCGCTCACGGGACGTGCTGCAGCCGAGGGGAGGGAACCGCGGGGGTAAGGAGCCAGCCTGCAGCTTGTCCTGGCACAGCCGGCGGTAAAGCCAGGCATTTGCCGGGGCAGTAACCGGGTCTCTGCCCACTCTGTCCCCACACCAGGATCCCATTTTGCATGTTTTTCAGGGGGACAAGCCCCCTCCCCGGCTCGCAACGGACCACGCAGCCGGCCGATGCCAACGCAGCGCAAGCCCAGGCACAGGGTAACACGTGGGGAGCCCCGGAGGGGCAGGAGGGGGAAGCAGACCTGCCCTCCTGCCCCAGCCCAGCGTGCGGTTGGGAGGCCGGGACGGCCGCGAGCACAGCCAGTCCCCCCGGGGTGCAGCACCGCTCACCTTCGGTCAAGGTGGGCGAGGGCAGCGCGGCCCGGACCTGCTCCAGTGGCCCGCTGAGCAGGCGGAGGTTGCCGATGTGCAGGTTCATGGCTTTGTGGAGCTCGGTGTTGGTGAAGCTGGCCTTCTCGTGCACCTCCATGTACTTGGAGCACTCCTTGCTGACCTCGGCCAGCCCCGGGGATGGCGGCGGAGGGGACCCCTGGGGCGGTGGGACCTTCCCAAGCAGCTCCTGCAGCTTCTGCTCCTGAGCCTCATCCTCCTCGAGGAGGTCATGGATCTCCTTCAGGGAAGCCTCCACGTCGGTGAAGACCCCGGAGAGCACTGGAGGGGAGAGACACAGAGGCTGGGCAAAGGGCTGAACCACCGCCTGCTGCGAGCTCTCCTGGCCCCTGCCTGCTCCAAGCCCGAAGCCAGGCACTGACACAGCAGCCTGAAGAATAAATCCGGCTGTGGGCAACCAGAGAAGGCAAGGACACCCCGGCCCAGACGTCTGGGTGCTGGGCTCAGGGCCTGCCTGCGCCGGGGAGAGGCCCGCAACGGGCTCTGGACAGCACCGACCCCCTTGGCTGCAGCCCACAGGTGGGACACGGGGGGGCTGCAGTCACCAGCGGGGCGACGGCTGGCCTGGCCTGCGAGGAAGCAGCATCCCCCACGACCGGCCAACAAGAAAAACACTTTGGGGTTCAGGAATTTATATCGACAAAGAATTAGCGATCGGAGCGGCCGTTCCCAACGCCAAGCCCCAGCCGGGGAGCAGCGTGCCTGCCCCCCGGGGCCAGCCCAGACATCCCCGGTCGTTCCCCCCCCCCATCAGTCCCCATGTCCTTACCCTGCATGGACTGGACAAGGTTCTTGACGGTGTCGGGGCGCACGCTGAGCGCGGCGCATTTCTCCATCAGGATGGGGGGGATGTGGCTGTACATGTCCAGGTTGTCCACGGTCTCGGGGTCCAGCTGCATGGAGTCCATGAACTGGCTACAGGCGAGAGAAGAAGCCCCTGAGTGGTGGCAGAGCCTCCCCACCTCCCTGCAGGTCCCCCCCATCCCAAACCACAGCCAGCTCGGGGCGCAGCACTGCAGCATCGCCCCCGATGGTCTGGGCAAAGCTGCAGGGTGGATTTGGGGACTGGAACCCGCTGGGGGACGGGGTCTGCCCCAGAGCTGGGCAAACTGGGACTTGACCATGCTCAGCATGAGGGTGACAAGAGATCAGGGACGTCTGTGTTCCCGTCGGCACCGGGGTGGGAAACCCAGCGAGGGAATCATCGGGACACCCCTGTGCCAGGCCGGGGGGAGCCCCAGCCGCTGCCTGAGTCTCCAGCGGGGAGGAATTGGCCAGGGCCCCGTTCAGGTACGGCTCACACGTACTCCAGCACTTCGTTCTTGGCTTCGATCTTTGCCATCACGTCTCTCAGCAGTTTGGCCTTCTCCTCGCTACGACAGAGGAGAAAAAAAAAAAATCCTTTAGCGCTGCGACAGCGGTAGGGAAACCTCCGCCGCAAATCACAAGTGCTCCAAGACCTGCGGGAATCGGCCGGAGCCTCGTCCGTCCCGGGGCCTGCCGCCCGCGGCCCTTTGGGGCAGCAAGGCCAGCTCCAGCTGCCAGGAGAGACAACGGACAGGAGCCGGACACGAGGACGACTCGGGGACATTTGGGGAGGGCTGGTGGTTCCCCAAAAAAACCACCATGGCTGGTTTGGTCCCCTCCAGCTCCCTTCAGCCTGCAGAGAGGCTGAGCTGGGGCACGGGCTCCTTGTTGAGCTCGGTGCTGGAGATCTGCGTCCCTGGCTCCGCGACCGCTGCGGCAGGCAGCTGCCTGGCTGTCCTGCTCCGGCCAGAGCCGTGCCCGCCCGCGCCGCAGCCCGGGACACACCTGTACAGCGAAGAGGCCTCGTGGGCAGCCATGGGCACCAGCTTGGCAAATATATCGGGGCCGGTGACGGCCGGATCCGTGGGGTTGACGGGGAGGGCTTTCACCAAGGGAGCACCTGGGGGTCGAAGACACAACACATGCCTGAAACCTCCATGGGGAACTGATTGTTCCTAAGACAGGTCCTCCCACTCAACACCTTCATTCCTGGCAGATCCTGGGAGAGCAGGGCCTCACAGCATGAAGCCCCACTGGCCCCAAGGGTCCCAGAGCCCCGTGGATCCACCGTGGGTCACACTGTGTGGGTCCCTCTCCCATCAGGAGCTGGCAGGAGAGGGCACTGCCCGTCCTCACCTTTCACAGACTGCAGGGTGTCCAGCGCAGGCACAGCTTCGTGGTAGATGAAGTCGTTGTCCTTTTTGGCCGAATTGTACCTGGAAACAAGAAGCGATGCGTTGGTGAGGAGCAGACAGTGCTCCCGGCTCCCTGAGCTCGCTCCCAGTGGGGTCAGGCCCTGGGTCTCTTGGGTTTGCTCCAGGGAGAGCAAAGAGCAACTTCCACGGCAGCCACACGTCCCGAGAGCCTCAGGCAGCACGGGGTGCTTGGCTTTGCCTGTCGGGGGACACCGGGGACACTCCCTGGGCTGCTTTGGCCACCAGGTATTTCTGATTCACAGAGAAGCAGGACGGTCACGTTCAGGGGTGCCCTGTGCACGGACTCACTTGCCACCGATCACATCCATGGTGAATCTCAGGGCTTCCTGGACGGTTTCTGGCTGGCCCTGCAGAAATGAGAGCGAGTTAGCGCAGGCAGGGAACGCGTATCGCTGTCCCAGCAGCTGATCGCAGCCCTGCATGCCGCGGCCACAGCCTGAGCGTGCCCAGAGGCAGCAGCAGCCTCGCCAGCCATCTCCTTGTGCCCCATAAAGGAACGGAGATGCCTTGCAGGCAGCCCCAAATCCTCCATGTCCCTGTTCCACACGCAGACCCTGCCACGGGGCTGTCCTCGGTTTCCCAAGCACGGCAGCACTGACAGCAGGGGCTCTGTGGGGAGCCCACCAACGCGGCAGGGCTGCGTGCTGCAGACCCACGGCCCTTCTGGAGCTGCCCACCTGCTCCTGAATGATCAAAACCAAACCAATCCCCCCTAAAGCCCTGGGAGACCAAGCGGCCAGGAGATAGCAGAGCCTGGGGCTTGGCTGGATGTCCCAGAGGGGAGCAAAGCGATGCTTGGGGAAGCCAGCACAGGTTTGCCAACCTACTGAACGCCAAGGAAAGCTTTTAAACTGACACCAATTCTCATCTTCTCAGTCTGGCATCCCACTGGACTGAGCCACTGCTCAGCACAGTAACTTTAAAAAAACCCGAATACTGCTACCAGATGGAGCAGGAACGCACCTTTGCCAGCTTGATAGCTTCGTTGAGTTTATCCAGAGCGCTCTGGAAGTAGATGACCTGCAGAGAGACTGGGAATTAGGGTTACCAGGGTTGGCACGGAAGTAGGTGCCCTCACTTTGCACAGAAACACCACCACCAGCCCCTGAGAGCTGCAGCTTCCTTCAGCGTAACGGGGCTTTCCGAGAACACCCACAAACGCCTGCAGGAGGCAGGACATCGCTGGTGACACACTCATGTCCCCAGCGCTGCGGATACCCAGCGTCACTAGCGTGACAATCTCTTCCAGGACTCAACCCTCCCAAGGCAGGACGACGATCCAGAGCCCGGACTGGATGAGGTGGGCTGACATGGCTCTGCTTACCCTTTCCCCAAACTTCTGCTGCTCCTCGGCCTGTTTTCCCATGTGCAGCTGCAAGAAAACACGCATCGGCGGTGTCAGAGCTCCTTAACTCGAGGGAGAGCTTTGAAACGGGCAAGAAGCAGAGCAGCCAAAGCCCCTTCGTCGGTGGTGTTGCGGTGAGCACCGCTCCACAGCGGGTGTGAGCAGCCCAAGCCGGGGTGGGAGCAAAGGGCAGGTCCCCCCCACCGCAGCCAAGCAGCCCCCGTAGTTGGTCTCCCCACTTACATGGGCCACAGCAGCAAAATAATAGATCTTCATCTGAACCAGCTTCTTCCAGTCCTTCTGGATCTTTCCCAGCAGCGAGGCTGTCTCCGAGTTTTCCAGCGCCCGGCAGGCCTCTTTGTAGTAATCCACCACCTACGGAGAGAGGGACGGGTGTTCGGAAACCCCCCAGAAAGCCGGATCCCAGGTGGGACTGAGAGCAGCAAGGGAAAGGAGGATTCAACGGCACCAGCGTTTGTGCCCACGGCCTCAGACCACCCAGCCAGCGCAGCAAAACGGCCGGTGGGAACCCCGCGGATGCGTTTTGGGTCAGAGCCAGGGACTAGTGACATCACCATGATAAGCCTACCCCACACGGTGGGTTAGAATCATAGAATCGTAGAATGGTTTGGGTTGGAAGGGACCTTAAAGATCATCTAGTCCAACCCCCCTGCCGTGGGCAGGGACATCTTCAACTAGACCAGGTTGCTCAGAGCCCCGTCCAGCCTGACCTGGAATGTTTCCAGGGATGGGGCATCCACCACCTCTCGGGGCAACCTGGGCCAGTGTCTCACCACCCTCATAGTGAAGAATTTCTTCCTAATTTCTTCTAATCTAAATTTACCCTCTTTCAGTTTAGAACCATTACCCCTCATCCTGTCACTGCACTCCCTGATAAAGAGCCCCTCCCCACCTTTCCTGTAAGCCCCCTTTAAGTACTGACAGGCTGCAATAAGGTCTCCCCGGAGCCTTCTCTTCTCCAGGCTAAATAACCCCAACTCTCTCAGCCTTTCTTCACAGGAGAGGTGTTCCATCCCCCT